ACCAGACTAAGAAAAAGAGAGAGAGAGAGACAAAAAAAAAACAACAACAAAACAAAAAAAAAACAAAAAAAAAAAAAAAAAAAAAAAAAAAAAAAAAAAAAAAAAAAAAAAAAAAAAAAAAAAAAAAAAAAAACGACAACAACAACAACAACAACAGCAGCAGCAACAACAACAACAACAACAACAACAACAACAACAACAACAACAACAACAACAACAGCAGCAACAACAACAACAACAACAACAACAACAACAACAACAACAACCACAACAACACCGATGCGGACGGGAGCCCGTCCGACGGCCAAGCTGGCAAGCGGCTGGCGCCGTCCCCTGCTGGGGCTGGAGGGCAGCAGAACAAACCGGGGGCGGCCCCAATGGAAAACTTGCTCCCCCCGGCGCACCAGCTGACGCGACAGCGCGCGCGCGGGCCGCCAGCGACCCGAGCGCGACTGCGGATCCGTGGCCGGGATGGGCAAAGGCGCGGGGGGGGCAATGGGCGGCGCCAGCACGCCGCCCGCCCCAAGGTGGGAACGAGCCGCTGGGGGGCACCCCCCGCCAGCGCCCGAGCGCCAATCCACGGCCGGGTGAATGCTTTCATATTCAGAGTTTCGACATCGAGCGAACGGGGAGGAGGGGGGGGGTCTGGCTCCGAACCTCTGCTAAGCGCGACTGTCTGCAACAGCGCGTCCTACGGGGGAGACTCCACCTGCTTGGAACAGGCGCCAAAAGCAGCCAAGATCTACTCGAAAGCCGCCGGGGCAGCCTGCACCGCAGGGCGGCAAAAGGCAGCGGCTGGGGCATGGGCAGAGAGGCCGCCGCCTCGCGCCACGCGGCCTGGGCGCGGCGGAGGCCCCCGAGAAGGATGGGGGGCGCTGCGGTCGTGGACGTCGGAGAGGGCGGCAGCGAGCGCCGCGTCGGCACGCTGCTGGAGGGCCCGCACTGCCGTCGCGCTAGCTGCAGCGGGGGCAGCGGGCGCAGAGGCAGGCACGCGGTGGAAGCGCCAGGACAGACGGCAGCGTCTGTCAGGCGGCCCCGGAGCCGCAGGGTCTGGGCGTGGGAGCCCGCACAGGGCTCGCGCTCACGGTGGCCGCAGCGTGGGAGACAAGGGACCGACTGTGGGGCGAGGGCCGCTGGGTGCCACGCGCCAATGGGCGGCGGGGGCGTTCGGCCGCGCGGGCCGCGAGACGCGAGTTCCGGGACCGACCGACGCAGCGCCAGGCGGACGTTACCCTGGCCGGGACCCTGCCGCACGGAGTAGTGGGCGTGGGCGTGGGACTTAGCTCTGAGGCGAGAATCTGCGCCCTGGCGGATACCATGGCGGCAGTGGCTGCGAGCGCGCGCGCCCATGGGATGACACGTCCGACGGGCCCAGATTCAAGGCACCACTGACCTGCTCGGTCGAAGGCCGCGATGGCAAGCCCCGAAGCAGCAATCGAGCAGCCGAGCAGGGCCAGCAGGAGGACCATGTGCAGCGACAGCAAGAGTTCCCCCTCGGCTTCGGCCTCAGCCCACAGGTTAGTCGTGGTAGGCTTCTCGGTCTCAGCTGCGATGAATGCTCAGCTGCCCCTGAGGCCACTGCTGGGTATTTGCCCTGCTTTGGCTGGCCAGCCACTACCTTCTCAGGCTGAGAAATGCGGAGCTGCTGCCCACTGCCCATGCCCAGGGCCGCTGCCCGCGCCACTGGGGCGCGGCGTAGCGACGGCGAGGTGAATCGCGGGGCCGAGGCCATGAGCGCCAGGGACTGGCGACCCAGGCAAGAAGCGCCAGTCCGCAGATGAGGCTTCAGCCATTGCGGGGCGCCGCGCCAGATCGATTGCCGCCAGGTTCGCCACGCGGGTCACTCTCGCAGTCGCCTCGCCCTCGCTATCTGGCGCCTGCATGACCTCGCCCGAGTCCGCGTCGGCTTGGAACGAGTCCGCGCCGTCAGGCAGACTCGGGGGGGCCTCAGGCACGGGGGCATCTTCGGGCAGCGCGACGGGCTCAGGCGGCCAGTCGCGGCCACAGCCCCGCAGGGCCACAGCCATCATGGACGGCCGCGGAGGAGCACCGGCGTCGCGGTTGTCCGCGAGCCGTGGAAACGCTGCGCGGGCACGGCAGATGCACCACGGCGGAAGCTCAGCGCGCAGTCCCGCCAGCTCGGCGCGGGCGCGTTGGAAGGCGAAGATCTGGCGCAGGGGTTGCAGCACGGCCCCGTGGAGTTTTTCGATGGTGCATCGGTGGTCGCGCCGCCGCGGCTGCGATCGCGCTCAGGCCTCGAGACGCAAGTCGCGCGCCACGTTGGCCCGAAGGGTGCGGCGGTCCGTTCCAAGAGACATGCTCGCACGGAAGAGGGGCATGCATTGGGCGGCTTGGGAGACGGCCAGAACGAAGTCTACGCAGTTGTCCACCCAGGCAGAATTGGCTGGGCCATCAGGCTCCCCGGGCGCCCGCAGCGCGGCCAGACTGGCGAGGATGGGCGCGGTTCGACCCTGGTGGGCAAGGGCGATGGGCCACTCGGTGTCGCAACGACACTGGAGCAGCCCTGTTGGGCGGGAAGCTGCCATGGCCTCGATAGCGAGCAGGCTGGCGTCTTCGGCGTCGGGAGCGACGATGGGGTCATCATGCAGCGGGTGGCCCTCGTCGGCGCCCTCGATCGGGTCGTCGGCAACTGGGGCCCGAGCCCCGTCTGCCCTGGCCCCCGGGGACGCGCGGCGCCATCGCGCTCGGGGGGGCAACGTCGCAGCAGGGAACGCACCGAAGTAGGCGCGGGCGCGCCTATGGCTGCGGTCGCGGCAAGCGTGGTACAACATGAATGGTGCGCAACGCGGCCGTGACTACGAGCGCGGCGGCAGATACCCCAGGTCGCAGCGCGGCACCTCAAGGCCGCGGGAACTGCGCCCAGGCGCGCAAAGAGCGCGTCGAACAGCGCGTTGCCCAACGCGCGAACGACGGAAAAGACGCACTCGGTGAGCCAACTGTCGCGGTCGAACAAGCGGCCACCAGCCAGCCAGGGGGTCGAGCTGCTGGTTCATGTCCACGGGGCCCTGTTGGGCAAGGGATGAATTCGGGCCGTGGGGCAAGTCACGTCAGTTTCGCGCTATGCTTCGGCGAGGAGATCGGCTCCGCCCGTCACACGGCCGGCGTCAGACGAAGACAATGCGCGCGCAGAGGCGCGGGCCCGTGAGCCAGGCTTGCCCACGAAAGCCACAGACGCCAGGGGGCCCGATTGCCAAGAGCATCCGTCAGCATCTCCCAAACTAGGACACCACGACGTCGGACGGGCGGCCACGACGGGCGAGCGGGCCAGAGAGCGCTCGCCACGGAAGCTCCGAGAGGACAAGAAAGGGGGCCGCCCGGCCCTGCGGGGTGGGGGCCAGGGCGGCGCCGCAGCACTGCAGGCCGCCGGCCACGGCCTCGAGGCGGAGCGGGCGCCGATCGCTCCCCGCGAAGCCGAGCGCGCCTCGGCAGTCGGGCGGCGCGCCTGCCAGCGGAAGCGGCCGGCCTGCACGCACCGAGCCTTGACCGAAAGGTGCTGCGAGCGGTGGCTGCCCCCCCCTGGCTGCCGCCGCCGCGCCCTCCAATGAGGCGCAGGGGCAGCAGCGGGCGCGGGGCAACGGAAGACGAGAAGCGACGCAACGCGCCCCGCGCCACGCGCACACCCCGCGAGCACGCGCCAGGACTGCATGGCGCACCCCGCGGCGCACGCGCACAACGCTCGCTCGACGCAGGGAAGAGAAGAGGAAGGAGCGAGGTGAGACCCCCTTGCGCGACGCCCTCGAATGGCCGAGGGCCTTCCCTTGAGGCACCTTCAAGGGCCAGCGCCGCTGAGGGCGCGCCCTGTTGAGCGCGCGGCCTTGAGGGCGACCGGGAAAGGGCTGCGGCGGGGCCCGCCGGGCTCGCCTCGGTCGCAGCCGCGGCCGCCCCCTGCGCGGTCGCGCGAGGGAGGCCTGCGGGGGGCCACTGACCACGGCCGGGCCCGCTGGGTCGGGGGGGGCGCCGTCGCGCCCTTGCCCTGCAGGGCGGCCCGCGGGCACTGTTGCGCCATAGCTAGGAGGGGGGCTATCTGTTGGAACACGAGGCGGACGTCGATGCCAAGCGACGTCTGTTCGGCATCCATGGCGGACATGGACGCATTGGTTAGAGATGGTGGTTTGGCTGCTAACTACAGTGGCGACCGTAACCTCTAGCTGCCCCATGGAGGTTTCGAGGCGCCCGATGTCCGCCTCGTCGCGGTGGAAACGTGCGGCAGCCTCGTCTGGCATCCCACGCAAGGCGCGAGTGTCCACGGAGTCGTGGAACTCATCCGAAACCTCAGAGTCGTCTTCGTCCACCATCATCTCCTCGCTACCAAGTGGCGATGGCGCGCCCTCGACCTGAGTGCCCAACAGGGGGCGGCGCCCTTTGGGGACAGCAGCGACGGGCATGCTGCGTGACACCACGAAGGGGAAACCTGGTCTGGCCGCGGCTGGGCCTTGCGACTCTGGCGGAGCACCACCAGGCGGCGCGGATCCACCTTGGCAGCCTGAGGGCGCGCGGCCCCGCGCTTGCTTCAGGGACTGCTCCAGCGCTGGGGGCGGAGGGCGGGATGGCCCAGATCCCGCGTGAGTGAGCAGCCCTTGAAGGTACGGACGGCACCTTTGCGGTCTTCTCCTAAAGCGAGGCGGCAGGGGGCGCCTGCCCTGGGGAAGCTTGCTGGGAGGCAGCCTTGGCGAGGTGGCAGTCACACTGCCACATGGAGCGACGATGCCAGCTGTTGCCACGGGGTGGGACGCCTTGGTGAGTTCTACTGGCGCGACGACCCAAGGGGCTTGGTAGCCCGCGGCGTGGATGGCCGAGTTCGATGGCGGGTCGGCGGCCCTGACCATGGCGAAGTCGCCTTGGGCGTGGGCGTCGCGGTCCCAGCCCGCATGGGACACCTCGCAGTGCCACTGGGTGGCCTTGAGAACAGCAGCGACCCGGGCCTTCGTGGCGCATTGGGGAACGATGCCCGTGACGCGGCATTTCGTGGAGGACGAGGGCCCAGTCAGTGCCGCGGAGGTCGGCAGCGACCTGACAGGCAGCCTCGGTACTGCGCCGCGCGCGGATGCCGGTCGACTTGGTGCACTTGAGGGCGCCCAAGGCAGGGCGACGGACCGAGGCTTGGCGGGCCTCCTGGAGAGAGTTCGTGGACCCCCTGCGGGCAGTACACGACGAGGTGCTCGTCGGACGTGCCGCGGTGTCAGCGCGGTAGCTGAGGTCACAGGTGAAACCGCTGTTACCCGAGGCCGCCAGGGCCACGTCGACGTCGGGAGAGATGATGCCAAACGTGGCGGGGAGGCGGCGTTCGCCCGATACCAGAGCGGCTGAGGGTCTTGCACGGCTCTTCGGTAGCGCCCGTGCGGAAGTGGTGTTGGAAGGCCACCTTGGAAGCATCCACAAGGTCGCTGTCGAGCGAGTGTAGCCTCGCTCCTTTTGTTGGCCACACGGCGCGCCCGTACCGCAGCCTGGGCGTCAACTACGTCCGCACGTGGTTGACGTCTGCCCTTGGTGGGAGCAGATCCTAAGGACTGGACCGTGAAGAGGTCCTTGACTGGTGGTACCTCAGCAACCGCCTCGGTTTCGTGGATGGTGGCTCGTATCCACGTGGCGTTGTCCGCAGGGTTCAGCTGGACATGCACCACGTTCTGGGTGCAGACGACCTCGGGGCCAAACTGGTACAGCGTACCGTCGACGTGCCGTGGGGTGGGTCTCGCGGCACAGGGCCCCGTTTAAAGACGGGGATGGACATTTCGATGCATACGCATTGGGGGTCCTTGGGCCCAATGGCCAGAAATGCCAGCGGGGCGCGTTGGATGCGCAACTGTCGGAGTAGCGTGGCACCGTGTTCCAGGGAGCGGAGGGACAGGCCTCCGTCGTAGTGCACACCGTCTGAGGCCCTGTCTGGCTCGAGGGTGATGGGCACCGTCCAGCTGCTGCCATCAGGGTTGATGCTCTGTTTGCCTGGACCCTGTTGGGTGGCGGCCTCGCCAGAAAACGCTGCTGCGTCGGGCCGTGATGCCCCACGCTTTGCCGTCTTGGAACGCTCGTAGTGCAACCTCGTGAAGCTCACGTGGTACCGAGCAAAGGGAAGTCCATGAGCTCCGCGCGAAGCGTGGGGACATTATCGCGGCGCTGCTGGTAGGTGAGATCGACTTCGTTGTTGAGCTTGCGGGCCAGGTCGTTAAGACTCTCGGGCTCGGGGTCTTGGAGGCCTTTGGCTTTCGCCTTGGGCTGCTTGGGTAAGTGGATTGTTTTCGAAGGGTCTGGGCTGGTCTGGAGTCGCGGCTCCATGTTTACCTCCCTGGGACCCCCGAAAGCCTCCCACGAGGCGGGGCTGATGGAGAGCACCCGCTGGCTCTGCTTGCAACATCGCCTTCTCCAAGCAGAAACGGGGTACCCGCTTGATGGTTGCTGAAAACGATGACGCCCCAAACGACGACGCGCCATGGCTGCGATCCTGACGCAAATCGATCCTGTGCGGTTGGGCACAGGTACGGTCTCGCCGGGCCAGGGGGGAAATGGCCAAAAAGGCTTTACGTCGAGGGCCGCTCCCGTTCCCGAGAGGACTCGGGCCGAGACCTGAGCCAGGGAGCGAAAGAGAGAGAGCAAAGAGAGAGAGAGAGAGAGAAAGAGAGAGAGAGAGAGACGAAAAAAAGAGAAAGAGAGCAAGAGAGAGTTACCGAAATATAACACAGAGAGAGAGAGAGAGACAGGGAGCGAGGACGAGACAGATAATCTGAAAACAGAAAAGAGGGAGAGAGAGGGGAAGAGGGAAAGCGAGAAAGAGGGAGAGATAACGACAGACCGAGATAGAGGTAGAGGGAGAGAGGGAGACAGAGAGAGAACAATAATCATCATAATAATAATCAGCATCATCAGAATAATAATAAGAAGAATAAAGAGAGAGAGAGAGGGAGAGAGAGAGAGAGAGGGCGAGAACGAGAGCGAGAAGTAGACAGAGAGAGAGAGAGAAAGCGAATCTCATGGGTGCTTGCATGATTTCCGCGTGATCGCCTTTTCGGGCGTCTGCAAGCCCAAAACGGCGCGAGAGGCCCCCCAGACTAGCCCAAGACGGCCCGAGAGGCCCCCAAGAGAGCCCGCAGACGGCCAAAGACGGCCCAAGACGACCCAACCGCTCCAATAGGCAGAAAAGAAAGCTGCAGGGCCCCAAGGGAAGCCCAAGAGGAATCCGCAGGGGCCCAGGGAGCCCTCCCCCAAAGGTGGCCCCCAAGACCCCCAACATACCCCCCAAGAGGACCCTAAGAAGCCCCTGAGCGGCCCAAAAAAGCCATCTGGGTTGGGTGAGAGGCTCCAAGAGGCCGCCTCTCAGGCCCCAAAGAGGCCCCCACTAATCCCCGCAGCAGATGCGGAGGAAGCGGAGGACAACTCATCAACAAGTGCATGCAGGCAGCACGACGGGAAGTGGCAACCAACACTCACGAAATCGGAAGCCGCACATCTCCTCTCCTGGGGGTCGGCGGAATGGCGCAAGCCTCTTGGAAAAGGAAAATATGTGAGCCGAGCTAGGGAGCGAGAGAAAGAGAGAGCGAGAGAGAGCGCGCGCGCACACACACACACAGATGGAGAGAGTGCGAATGAAAGTAACAAGGGGAGGAAGAGAGAGAGAGAGAGGGGAGAGGGAGAGAGGGAGGGAGGGAGGGGGAGAGAGAGGGAGAGAGAGACAGAGAGAGATCATGGAACACGTTCATTGAGACACGCAAGCGTTATTGTGGAAGAGAGAAGGAAGAGCAGCTAGTTCACCTTGCGCAACAATGCGTGAAAGGTGCCGATTTCCAGCAGGCAGGGAAACGATGCAGAAGTCCGACCGCCAGCACTGGCCGCGAGCCCTGCGAGGTCATTGCACCGGCCTTGCAGACGTGCTGCAGCGGATTTCTGAATGGGTTTCTGCGTGGATGTTTGCCCGAAACGGCGAGCAAAAAACGAAGAGAATTTCGCGTGGATTCTTTTTGGTCTTCATTCCTGGCCCCAAAAATCCGCGAAATTCACAACGAAATCCTGAAAGATCTTCTCCAGGACACTCCGGGCCCATCCCATCGTTTTCTCAACGAAGCCCGCTCTTCGCATGACAACGATGGGGCGCGCAACAAGGCAGCGTCGGCAACAAACGACCCACAAACGAGCAGAGCGCATGCTTCCGCAACGCGGGAAATGACCTCGACCGCAAGCGTGCACCCGGCTCGGAGAGCACAGCAGCGGGACTTCCACTGGAAGCACGCTCGATAACAGATCGACAGCCTGCTGGATGCGCTCCACTTCTGCAATCAGACTTATGAAAACGTCCAGCTGACATTGCGATTTCCCCGTGCCTCTCAAGCTTGGTTGCGCCGTTGTGCACGAACGGCACGCAAGTAGCACAAGGCCCCTCGGGAGTGGCGTCCATGAGCTGTGTTAGCGCCCCAGGCCAAGTCTCCGCAGTACGACCGCCATCGCCGATCTCACAAAAAAAGCTTGTCTCAAACCCAAGCGACCCTGGATATACACGCGATACACCGAGGAAAAGCTATCACTATAGCACGTGAACAAAATACGGCAGCAGAAGACAAAATACCCCAAGACCTACATACTGGCATTGATTGTCCCTTGAAGCTTCCAAGACATCCCAAGCTACTGGTGAGACGCACTCGTCGCTTGCCTTCGGTTGTCTCGACGTATTTTAGGGCCCAGACAAGCCCAATACTAACTAAATAGCCGAATGCATTTGGCAATAAGCTCCCGAAGCCTAGATAACAGCCGCGGCGGGAGGCGAACAGAAAACTGCAAGAACAGCATGCGCAAGAGTCCAATCCCAGACATGCAGACTGTCAAAAGGACAGCGAGCGAGGGGCACCTTGCCTGATTCGCGGCATGCGGCGAACCGGGCAGCCAGCCTTTCGGACATGGGGGCAAATCCTGCGCACGGTGCCATGGCGCATTGATTCGCTCAGCCTCCTATTCTTAGCTCCCCGCCCACGCCAGGCACATGCACAAGCTCACGTGGCCCACATGTCCCAACCCCCTGCTCGCGAACAGCTATCTCGCAGTGCTGATTGGCCACGCTGCAACACATGCCGCAGATGCACGCAGGAGTACCAAAGAGTGCACACACACACACACACACACACACACACACACACACACACACACACACACACACGCACGCACGCACGCACACGCACGAACGCACGCACGCACGCACGCACGCACGCACGCACGCACGCACGCACCCCCAACCCCCCCCACACACACACACACACACACACACACACACACACACACACACACACACACACACACACACACACACACACACACACACACACACACACACACACACACACACACACACACACACACACATACACACACACACACACACAAACAACCACACACACACACACACACATACACACACATAGTCAAGACCACCAGTGCGTCACCGAATTACGGCTGGTACAAGTTGTTGCCTGCGATCAGTGGCTCGCGCGCTTGCCCAAGTTACTGCGGATCCCTCCCAACTGTCCCCACCAGGTGGAAAAAGCGCAAACGCGCACCAAAAATGAGCTAGCACTGCAAATGCTGCGAGGCAAACGGAGAATATGGTTGTCTCGCATGCGTGGCTCGCTCAGCCCCAAAGGTACGACAAAAAAGCGTAAATGTCGCCTGCATGACATGCAACACGCAATATGGTCGAAGCTTCCTGAGGGATCTGCTGAGCGCACACGTCGCTGACATTCCAACGTCACCTCCACATCGTCACCCCATCCATGAACTGTAATTACAATTTGCCCGGGTCCATGTTCCCATCTCCTGAAGAGCTCACTTCTCACTTGCCTGAAAACTGTAAATACCGCCAGGGGAATCGCCAGCCGCAACCGCGCTCGGAACCACACGCCGTGGTCCAGCAAGTAGTTGCGTACTGACGTGCACAAGGAAATGAATGTAAGTATGTGAACCTGCCCCCGGGGTAAGCTCTGCCCCGGTTAGCCTCCAAAGCTACCTAAAGCAGTCCCTCGCAAGCAATCCTGAATACGGCGGATGCTCGCGGCAAACCCCAAAGACCCTGTGCGAACGATCGCTAGCAACAACCACATTGCACTCACGATGTGCAATATATGTGGCGCAAGCGATGTGGTTGCAGTCGATGTGGTGCGATCAACGTGGTGCACCGTAGAGCAGCATGGGGCACCATAGCGAAGCCCGAGGCGGCGAGGGCGAATCGCAACTGTCCTAGGACACCAAGGCGGCAATCGTCGGGCACCAATGAAGAGGCGACGGCAAATAGCAACAGTCAGAAGGCACGAAGGCGGCGACGATAGGGCGTGAAGACGGCGACGGCGAATTGCGACAGCCATGGGGGGCACCCAGGTGGCGACCAGAGGGCCAAAGGCAACGGATGCGAATGGCAACAGCCATCGGGCGCAAATGCAGCAGCCAAAGGGCACGAAAGCGGCCACGGCAATTCGCAACGGTCAGAAGGCCCCAAGGCTTCCACGATCAGACATCCAAGACGGCGACGGCGAATTGCGACAGCCATGGGGGGCACCAAGATGGCCACCGTAGGGCAGCAAGGCAGCGGACGCGAATGGCAACAGCCACGGAGCTCCAATGCGTCAGCTATGGGGCACACAAGTGGCGACGGCAAGTCGCAACAGTCAGGAGGCACCAAAGCGGCGACAATAGCAGATCAAGACGGCGACGGCGAATCACAACAGCAATGGGGGGGGCAACACGACGGCGACAATAAAAGCACCAAGGCGGCGACGGCGAATTGCGACAGCCATGGGGGGGGCACCACGGTGGCACCACGGTGGCGACCGTAGGGCAGCACCGCAGCGGACGCGAATCGCAACAGCTACGGAGCGCCAATGCGGTAGCTGTAGGGCACCAACGTGGCGACGGCAAATCGCAACAGTCAGAAGGCACCAGCGCGGCGACAATAGCAGATCAAGACGGCGACGGCGAATCGCAACAGCAATGGGGGGGCACCAAGACGGCGACCATAGAGCACCAAGACGGCGACGGCGAATTGCGACAGCCATGGGGGGCACCACGGAAGCGACCGTAGGGCAGCAAGGCAGCGGACGCGAATGGCAACAGCCACGGAGCACCAATGCTACAGCTATAGGGAACGAACCAAAGTGGCGACGGCAAATCGCAACAGTCAGAAGGCACCAAAGCGGCGACAATAGCAGATCAAGACGGCGACGGCGAATCGCAACAGCAACGGGGTGGGCACCAAGACGGCGACCATAGAGCGCCAAGACGGCGACGGCAAATTGCGAAAGGCATAGGGCATCAATGCGGGCATAAAGGCAGCGACAACGAATATCAACAGTCAGGCCGAATTCCTTCTGGGAGAAGTATGCGACTCAGAATGCAGGCACGGATATGCACGGGAAAAACTCAAAATGTCGTTCCCCTGATCCACTACCCTTGGGATATATATATAACTGCTGAGCATGTCTTGGTGTGAAGCTGTGACCTCCCTTCTTTGTTCTCTTTGACAAGCAGCAGAGAAGCAGAACCGAAGTGACGGGCAGATGGACCTCCGCACAAACACATATGATTCCATCGGAAGCTGCCTGCTGCGACACGAATTTCTATGCAGTTGGTCCGCCTTTGGAACCACCACTTTTGCAGTGTGAACGTGCGAAGCGTGCATGCGTGCCATTTGGCGCGACCATGTGGCAGCCACTGCCGCACATTCATCGCCACATTACTTTAATTTCGGGTGACCAAACCCTCAGAGCCACACTCGCAAGGACACGATCATTCTCGCAAGCCGTTGATTTGCTGCAACGCTCTACACTCAGACATGGCAGTCAGTCAGCATGAGCGTCAGAAGACTTACGAAAAACGATTGCCACTCTGTTGACGCACACACATGCCTTGCTGACAAGCGCGCTCTTCAAGAATAAACTAATTTGTTTCACTCAGCATGGGCATCTGCCTCGGAATCATCACTGTCCCCTTCCGTCTCGGGCTTTTTCTTGTGTGCCTCGGCCCATGCCTCTTCCTTGGCCTTTATCTCTGCCGCATGCTTCTTCGTCCAGGCCGTTGCCTTCTCCTTGGCCTCCTTCGCGGCCTTCTTGGCCTTGGCCTCGTCGTACAGAGGGTGATGAGGAAACGCGGGCTCCATGACGAGCTTCCTGCGAAGCTGACCACCATGGGAGATACCCTCGATCGTAATCTTACCTCAGAAGCACCACCACCCCTGATCCAAGCTGAGTCACGGCATGGCCCTGACCCAGCCAGACCAATTTATTATGAATCCCGGTGCACCCTGCAGATGGAGGGTACGATCGACCACCCAGATCAGCGGCCTGATCGAGACAGATCGAGGCCAGAACGATCGACAGATCGAGGCCAGAACGACCGACGGATCGAGCCAGATCGAGGCAAGACGGATTGGCAGATCGGCCAGATCGGCGGCCTGCCCGACGGTTCAGGGTTTTCTATGGGTCTTGCTCTTCTCCAGGGTCATATCCATGAAGCCATACTGGTCGTCATTACCGTCCATCGACGGCTCCCGCTCGGAGGTGACGCCGCCGCCGCCGCCGGAGGTCACCCACACGATGGGGTCCAGGAAATCGTTGTACAGCCCGTTCGGGTCGTTATGCCACACCATGGTCCTGTTGTCGCCAGGCTGGTGCATGTCCTCTAGGGGGCCAGCAACCTATCTAAGCAACCCAAGTATTACAAGCACGTGTCCCCCCCTGGAGCTGAAATCGCCATAACGAGCGCTCCAATAGCAGCTTGGGGATTCGGGGCGTTCCTCGGGCCCAGAAATCGACTTCGAATGCTTACTGCACTTGATTTTTTCTCGCCTTGTCCTGGCGGTGCCTATGACCGGCAATGACGAGGTCGATTTCGTGCTTGAAGCCGAGCTTCTTCCAGTCGGGCGCGCCCCAGCTCGGCGGAAAGTGCGTGACGACGATGCGCCAGTCGGCGGTCGACTCTGGCACCACCTCGTCGAGCCACTTCTGCTGCTTCTTCCAAAGCTTGCCGAACCAGTCCTGGCACTTCCACACGCCGCTCGGCCCCACGGGGGCGCAGGTGACGGGCTTCTCGTCGTTGTGCGTCTCGGAGCAGATATTGTGCGGGGACGGATCCTTGGGGTCCAGGGCGTCGAAAATGTTGGTGTCCTGAGCAGATGCGAACAAACTCGGAGGAAGAGCCCATGGCTCTAGATCTGGATTTGGGCTGGGCCCTGCGCGGAGGGAGGCCTGCGGGGAGAGCCTGGAGCTGGCGGGAGGGCCGACAAGCCCCGGATCTGGATCTGGATCAAGGCTGGGCCCGGGGGAGCGCGGGGAGTACAGGCGGCCCGGATCCAGCGGTGGGGGTAAGCCGTTCCCTGCGGTGGGGGGGCAGAGGGAATGCTGTTCCTAGAGGCCTCCTAGATAGGGTCGGAGCAGATGGGGTCAGGCCTTGGCAAGCAGAGCTGCCCCTGGACCAAAATCCGAAGTTCCGACGGGCCCGTGTTCCTAAAGCGAAGGTCCCGCACTCGCCCAAACCAAGCAGAGTCCAGATGTATAATTTCCTTCTATTGCCCAGACCAGGCAAGCCCCGTTTAGGTAGCATCCCGTACTGGCTCAAACCCGAGAAGCGTGCGCTTGTCCTCGGCTGAAAGCCTCTGGGGGGGTCGGCAAGAGGAAAAGAGAAGATGCCAGTGTCCAGGAAGTAATAGTCGACGGCGAAGTCCTCGTACCACACCTTGGACCGATAGTACATGGCCGGAGTCATCCACCGACCAGTGGAGTAGTCGGCCGAGCTCCAGGTGTAGCCGATGTTCTGGTCCCAGGCGTGGGTGAACAGCCAACCGCCATAATCGTGGTTGCCCAGGACGCCCAGCCACTGCTTGTCGTCGATGCCGTCCCCGGTATAGACCTTCTCGTACACGTGATCGAACTGATTCACCTTATGTTCCTTGTAGACCGTGGTGCCGCCCTTGCTGTAGGGCTTCGTGATGTCCTTCGCGCCGCAGTGGTCCTCGACCCCCGCCCAATAGAAATTATCACCGACGTTGAGGAAGTAGTCTGGCCTGCTCTCCGGAGCGCGCTTCCGCATCTGGTCGCGGACGAGGGTCTGGGCCTGCTCGTCAGGGGGCCAGACGAAGTTGTAGTTCGTCTCCCAGCGGTGCGTGAGATGCGGCGCGGCGGCGAGCCGTCCATCGCCCTGGGTAATGCCACCCCAGTCGCCGATGATGAAGACATGGTGGGGGCCGTCACCCTCGAAGCAGACGTCCTCGAGGGCCACGCCGTTGTGCTCGTCGGCCGTCTTCGGCTTCTTAGGCGCTTTGAAGCGGTCGCCGCACTTGGCTGGGCGCTCTGCCGACTTGGCCTCTTGCTTGGGATTGGCAATCGGCGCGGCGTCCGACGCGTTGGAGGTGGTGCTGGCGTTTGGCTCCGCACCCTTCCTCCGAAAGCACCCGACGTCCTTCGCCTCCACGGTCCCCCCGATGGGCGCGCTCCATGCCCTGCACTCGAGGCTGTCGTGGTGGTACTCGACGCCCGTACACGAGTCCCCGACGCCCTGGCATTTCTCCTTGCAGTCGGCAAAGGTGCTCACGCCCGCGTAGACCTTGAAGGACGTGCCCTCAGCGCCCTCCTGGCCGTCCACACCACGGCAGGACGTGCCCTTGCCGAAGCTGTCCTTGCTCATCACCGCCACCGGCGCCTTCACCGCCACCGGCTCCTCCAGCGTCCTCGACCCGGTCGCCGAAAGGTCCTTCGACCCGACGTGCGCGTCCGCGGTCACGCTCGCCTGCGCCGGGACGGCCTCGCTTTGCGCCGCCGCCACGGCCGCCCCACTAGACGCGCCACGGCTCCCAGCCGCGAGGCCGCCGCCCAGAGCGGCGACGCCCGCGACGCCGATGCCTGCCGCGATCGCGACCTTCCACTTGAAGGGCGTTCCGTCGAAAGCGGCCTTCAGCCTGCCCCCCGTGCTGTCCGCGGGGGCTTCCCTCGCGACCTGGCTGTACTCTCCCTTGTCCTGCGCCATGCGACCGGTGGCACGGGGAGCTTCGCTTCCGGAGGCAGGCTTGCGCTTCGAGGCCGTCGGTCGCGGCGCTTCTTGAGCCCAAGCGGCCGCGGTGGATGCGACCTCGCCCCTTGGTCACACCCCCGAGCGACACGCAGAGAGCCGGCCCTTGAAGATACATGGCAGTGAGAGCCCCAGACAAAAACGTTCAGCTCCATCGGCAGCTTGCGGCTGCGACGCGCCGTTCAAGCTGTTCTGCCTCCAAGGACTTCCACGTTCCGGGCCCTGGAAACGTTCCGGAGGAGGAGGAGGAGGAGGAGGAGGAGGAGGAGAAGAAGGAGGAGGAGGAAGAGGGAGGAGGAGGAGGAGGGAGGAGGAGGAGGAGGAGGAAGAGGGAGGAGGGAGGGAGGAGGAGGGAGAGGAAGAGAGGAGGGAGGAGGAGGAGGAGGAGGAGAAGAAGGAGGGAGGAAGGGGGAGGAGGAGGGGAGGAGGGGGAGGAGGAGGAGGAGGAAGGGGGAGGAGGAGGAGGGGGAGGAGGAGGGAGGAGGAGGAAGAGGGGAGGAGGAGGAGGGGGAGAAGGAGGAGGAGGAGGAAGCACGTTTCGGGTCGGGGTGGCGGCAACAGGCCCTTCCCCAAGGCGGCCCAACGTGTCCCCGCAGGACAGCCCCAACGGACCCGAGAAGATCCCCAACGGGACTCCCAAGGCACTGTCCAACAGCAGTGCCCCTGATAGTCCTCCTCCTCCTCCTCCTCCTCCTCCTCCTCCTCCTCCTCCTCCTCCTCCTCCTCCTCCTCCTCCTCCTCCTCCTCCTCCTCTCCTCCTCCTCCTCCCTCTTCCTCCTCCTCCTCCTCCTCCTCCTCCTCCTCCTCCTCCTCCTCCCTCCTCCTCCTCCTCCTCCTCCTCCTCCTCCCCCCTCCTGCCCCCCAAACAAATACGATATGTTCCTTCTGCGCTTGGAGGGCACACCACTCCAGGAGCCCTGGATGGTTTCCTATCAGTTCCTCGAGACTCCAAGGTGCGCCCGAAGCTGGCCCGCAACTCAGGCAAGGACAGCCCTACACTTTCGAGGTCCGCGGGCGCAGAGTGGTCAAGGACGGTCAGGCACCAGTCAGCGAGCGGTGGGATGCACTTGAAGCGAACTGGGCAGAGAAGCGATCAGGAACAAGACAAGGAAGGACAGGGGGTAGCCCGCTCAGACAATGAAACGAAAGCCGGCGAGAAGGCGCCGAAGAAGAACATGCAGCTGCAAGACAATGAAGGCCAACCTGAAGAGGTAGAACTTGAAGAAGTACAGGAAAAGCAAAGACTCAGAAGCCAAAGGCCGTGAAGACGAAGACCTTGAAGAAGTGCATGATGCCAAAACTGAAGGATGGGTACAGCACGCTGGGACAAGTCCCAGGGGACGTGGAAGGGGCCGAACTCCAACAGGAACAAGAAACCGGAACAGGCGGGCCTGGCTCAAGCAGAGCTGCAAAACTGACCGAACGACGCCGATGCGAAACCATGAATGGCAAGGCCCCGACGGGTGGACAGGTTGCAATGGCCGAACTTGAACTGGGAGTGCGCAGCGCACTGCGCAGGGCAACCACAAGCGGTTGGAAATTCCACTTCGCCGCTGCGACAATTCGGCCAAAATGCAGCGCCTCCAGTTAGGCGACGGGGCCTCGGCACAACGCTGTCAGTGGCGTTGCGCCCACGACAAGGGAGGAGACGTCAAAAGGGCCCGCTCGGCCGCGGGACCCCAGTTCGACGTTCTGTTCAAGCATCGTTATGCTCAAGATTCGGGCGGAACCGCTCTTTCGATTTCAAACCCGATGGTTTCGAAATCCATTCGAGATTGTTCTTTGGAGAGAGTCTCCAGCGAAAATCACTCCTCAGAAATATTTAAGCAGAAATGTACCATTCAAAATGCCAAACGGTGTGGCCATTTCGAAAAGACGGTTTCGCTGGAGACTTCTTCAAACAAAAAAACGAACGACTTCGACGAAACTTCCAGGATCGATTTCGAAATGGCGTTCCCGCCAGAGACTTCCTTCAAACTAGAGTGCGAAACCTTGTTGATCGATTTCGAAATTGCGCTCCCGCCCAGGACATCCTCCGAAACAAAATTCAAAGCCTTTCGGGCTCGATTTCGAAATGGCGCTCCCGCCCAGGACTTGCTCGAAAATAAAAGTCGGCACTTCTGCAGCTCGAATCCGCAGTGGCGCTCCCGCCTGAACCTTGTCCAGGTAGAGGCGCGAAACGAATCAAAACTGGCGTAGCGCCCATGAGGAATTTCAATCCGCTCACGATGGCCCTGCATCTGGTCGGTCTGGAAAAAGGCGCATTCGCCCGCCGACCCGTGCATCGCCGTCTTCGTCGCGCACTTTGAGCGCGCCGGCGCCCCCGCGTCGTTCATACGGATCGACTTACAGTGCCCGTGGAGTGACGGGCGGGAGAATCACTTCCGAGTAGCACGTTCGCAGCGCAATGTGCAGGGCAACCATCAGCAATTTGAAATCGCCCTGTGGAATTTCAAGTCGCTCAAGGTTGCACTGCATCTGGTCGGTCTGAAAAGTGGCGCACTCGCCCGCCGACCGATGCATCGCCGTCGTCGTCGCGCACTTTGAGCGCGCTGGCGTCGTCGCGCCGTTTATGTATACAAATCGATTCGCAGTGCCCGAGGAGTGAGAGGCGGGCGAATCGCTTGCGAGCGACATGTGCGCAGCGCGATGTGCAGGGCAACCACAAGTGGTTGGAAATTCCACATCGCCGCTGCGACAATTCGGCCAAAATGCAGCGCCTCCAGTTAGGCGACGGGGCCTCGGCACAACGCTGTCAGTGGCGTTGTACCCACGACAAGGGAGGAGACGTCAAAGAGGCTCGCTCAGCCGCGGGTCCCCAATACGACGTTCTGTTAATGCATTGTTTTGCTCAAGATTCGGGCGGAACCGCCCTGTCGACTTCAAACCCGATGGTTTCGAAATCCAGTCGAGACCGTTCTTCGGAGGAAGTCTCCTGCAAAACCACATTTTCTAAATCCAAGCGGTGTGGCCATTTCGAGACGACGGTTTCGCTGGAGATTTCAAACAACAAAAAGCTATGTGTATATATATATACACACGCGTGTATATTATGTATTGCTTATTATTATATAAAAAATCGAAGCTGATGGGGTCGATTTCGAAATGGCGATCCCGCCCAAGACATCCTCCAAATTAGATTTCGAAGCCTTTCTGGCTCGCTTTCGAAATCGCGCTCCCGTCCTGGACATCCTCCGAAACAGAATCCAAAGCTTTTCGGGCACGATTTCGAAATGGCGCTCCCGCCAAGGACTTCCTGGAGACTGGAATTCGACATCCTTCTGGTTCGATTTGGAAATGGCGCTCCCGCCCAGGACCTCCTCGAAAATAAAGGTCGGCACTGCTTCAGCTCGAATTCGCAATGGCGCTCCCGCCTAAGACTTGTCCTGGTGGAAACACGAAGAGGGTCAAAATCTTCGCGGCCCCGATGTACTTAAGCAGCACACCAACCACGCAACGGGTCAAACATTCCAAAATGAAGCGTTGCAGCGCTACTTGCCCCAAGGAGGCGGATATGTGCGGCAGCGAACCTCACCGAACAAGAACGGGAAGCGTCGCTTTTATCCACTAGGTATGTGAAGTATGCTCTTGTGCTGGTCTGCCGCGCAAATATGTCGTAGCGTGCGTGCGTTTGCGCGTGCGCGTGCGTGCGTGGAATATGTGCATGTGTGTCCATGCGTGGTGGTCTGCGGCACTGCTGTGTTGTGCCGTGCTGCTATGCCGTGCCTCTGCGGTCTGCGTGAACGTGTGTTGCCTCTCTGTGTGCGTGTGTGTGTGCGTGTGTGTATGTGTCTCTGTGTGCGTGTGCATGTGCGTGTGCGTGTGCCTGCGTGCGTGTGCACATGTGCGTGTGCCTGTGGGTGCGGCTGTGTGAATAGATGTTCTATGGATTCTGCCGTGCTCCCGCGTGTTCTGCCGTGCTCCTGTGTGGTCTGCCGTCCTCCTGTGTTTTCTGCTATGGTCCAGCTCTGCCGTGCTCATATGTGTTCTGCCGTGCTCATGTGTGTTCTGCCATGCTCTTGTGTGTTATGCCGTGCTCCGATGTCCTCTGTGTGTTCTGCCATGCTCCTCGTGATCGTGCGCGTTAAAGTTAAAGTTAAAGACGGGGCCTTCAAGGCAAGCGGGAAAACACGGACCGGGCCAGACGGGACCCACGTTCCCGAGAGAAGCCGAGTCCCAAGCGAGCACCGAGGGCGACGGAAGCCCACTCACCAGGGGGAGCAGCTGGCGCGAGCCTCACCGATGCACATCTTTCCATCACTCACGGTCGGATCGCCACGGCGCGCCAAGCGGCGGCGCACCCTGCGGTCCTCCAGGGCGCCGACTGCTGCACTGGCCGCGGCGGCGAGCTCCTCCTCGGCGATCTCGAGGGCCCCAAGGAGCCCAGCTCTCGCCGCGGCTGGACGCCGCAGAGGCTGGCTGGCGACGGCCGTCGCGACGGGCGCATCCGCGGGGGCCTCGCCGAGTCCCTCTGCCGCCTCAGTTCTTCGGCTGCCGCTGGGGCGCTGCCCGCACTGCTCGGAGTGGCCGAGGAGTCGACTGCTGGCTCCGCTGCGATGCCAAGCCACTCCAGGTACTGCTCCTGCGCATGCTCGGGCACAGGCCCCTGCGGACGCAGAGCAGGGATGCCATATCTTTTCACCTTGTGCCTGGCAGCCCGTGACCCCTCTTGCAACCTGCCTCCTGGATGGAGCCCCCGTGACCACAGGCTGCGCTGATTCCTGCCCGCCCCGTCGGCCTTGCCGCCTGGGCAGCGCTCCTCGAGGCGAGGCCTCTCCCCTGAGCGGCCGCCCAGCGTCACGTAGGCGCCGCGCATGGAGCACACCTCGAGCTCCTGGGTGTCCTCACCTTCTCCAGCGCAGGCGTAGGGCAGGGCTTGCCCCAGGATGCTGAAGGCCACAGCTCTGGCCGAGAGGGCGGCCGAACTGCTGCCAGTCGAGCGAGCGCCCTCCAGGCGT